CCCCTCCACCCTCGGCCCCAGGAATTATAATGAGAGTACCATGAAGGGGCAGTGTAACTAAGATTGTGTTGGAAGCCTAGCAAATCTGAATGTAAGAGAAGAATCAATAGATTTAATCTACTGAGGACACAAATAGACAATTCAGAGAGATGATTTCCAAGAATTCTTCTAGCTCTAAATAAAGGATCCAAAGAAAAGAGAGGCGACATGGGCATATTTGTTCAAGTAGAGGGTCAATGGCCAGAACACTCCCATTGGAATTGACAGATCCATGAATTAACCCCAGGACAATACTTGAACTGAGGGGCTCTAAATACCAACTCTCGATATGAACACCTACCTCATTAGATTAACTCAAACAAGAGTATCTATGTAAAGCTCTTAGTAAGTGCCTGCCAATTAGTAGGTGTTTAGTAAATGATAGTGTCTCTTCAACTGCTTAACTCTTCCTTTCTATCCTTTCTTCAAGAGCCACTCAAATAATATTTATTGAGTGGCTACTCTGTGCTTGGAATTGTTCTAGGCACTAAGAGTACTTCAGCAGCAAATAGGCAAAACATCTAGCCATCAGTGAACTTATATGCTACACTGCCAAGCTAAAGTTAGAAGCCTCAGACTGTTTCTTCCATCAGAGCATTACTAACTACACTGGAGTGACACCTCTCTATCTCTCTTCCCATAGAGTGGGAGCACCAGGAGAACTGACCTCCAGGCTGTTGGGCACCAGAGTAGCATCATTTTCTAACCCAGTGTATGCACCCAGTAGGCATGCAGCTAATTGCTGAATGAACAGATGATGGGTGGCTGGACAGTTACATAGATGAACAATACCAGTGACCTGCTCTTTCCTGTTCCTCATTTGCTATTGACCTCACTTTTCACACACTTTGTTTTGTTCAGAGTCTTGACTTCTTGGAGTAATCTCAAGATCTTATGTAGGCCTAAGGAACATGGTGTCCAGTACAGGAGCACTTGATAGTCAGGTTGCCAAAGTGTTCTTGTACTCTCTCCCCAAATGGACACACAATAACTTGTGTTGCTGGAACCCAAGTGTGTGTAACAAGAGCCGACTGTGGGCAAGAGGCCTAGGAGTGGTAATTCTGTCTTCTACCTGCTATTTCTTGATCTTTGGCCAACTTGGAGCACAAGAATTCTGCCTTTGCATTGTTGCAACAAGAGCAAGTGTGGTTTTGTGGTTAAGAAGGTTAAATTTAGGATTAGACCTGGGTTTTAAGCCTGGCTCTGCCATTACCAGTTATATTAAGTTGGATAAGTCACTTCTCCGAGTTGCAGTTTTTTCTCTAAATTTTGACAGCTTCCTAAGTAGGAAATACTCAGTAAAGGGTTGCTGCTGCTATTGTCTGTATGCTACACATTGCACTAGAGCACCAGGCATCAATGAGGGCCCTGTGCATTCTGATGCTTCTTGGTAATTTCTGCTGAATCCCTTTACGACAAAAGCTGAATGAGTCACCTGCCACCCTAGATCAAAATCTATCAACAGAGAAGAGTTTAACCTGTCATCTCATTTCAGAGATAGGAACACTGAAGCCAAGAGGGTGGCCCAGGGTGTCTCAGTGCACAAGGAGAGTTACTAGCAGAGTCCATACTGGTCTCCCTTTCCTCTACGAAGGTCAGTTCTCATTCAGTGGGGTGGAGAGGTTCCACTTCAGGAAGATGTTCCACATTTCTTTCCTGTCCTGGCCAAAAGTAATCCATCTATGAGAAACTTCCATGGTGTAAGCACAGAAGTCTCTCCCTTCATCAATGTCATACCTTGGGAAACTATCTCCAGTATAGATAACAGAAAGAATAAATATTTTTGTTGAGAGAAAAAAATGAAGACAAAGGTTAAAGGGCATCATGTAATGGGTTGAGTCAGGGAAGGAAAAAAATAAGCATTTTTTTTCTTGCTCCTCTTTTTTTCCACAACAGTCTTTATATAGAACTTGTATAAGAGCCAATTTATTTGATATGGAAAAAATGTGAAAGCAGCAAAACACACACACACACACACACACAAAGAGGTATTTGTGTTGGAGTTCAGAACTCAAATTACCAAGAGATAAAGAAGTTGAAATTGTACATTGACTTGGAATGATGTTTGATTTTTTCAGAGACTCAGAGAACATTCAGGTCAGGAAACATAGTCCAATCCAGTCCAGGTCACCAATAAATTCTTTGGGACTCAAGAGAGACAGAGAGGAAGGCCAGTGAAGACTTCAGTTTAGCCTTTGTGCTGTCTTGTAGTGGGAACTAAAGATATATGCTAAGTAAATGAAACAACAAATGATACATAAAGCATAGACCCAGATAGTGGTAGTTTTAGAAGCATATTCACGTAATTTGGCATTTTACCAAATATTAATAGTCTTCATACTAAGTGTGAGCACCCAAAACACTGAGAATAGATCTACTATACATTCAGCAAGCCCATTCCTTTTGTATTTTGCATTTAAAAAATACAAAAACATGACTTGAAAGAGACGATTGCCACCTATGTCCACCACAGCACTATTTGCGGGAGCCAAACTATGGAAACAACTATGTGTCCAATGACAAGAAGAGGTGTGAGCCTATACCCTTAAAATATACACAATGTTGTAAATCATTATTACCTCAACAAAAATGATTGCATTCAAAACTAACATTAAAGCTTGTATATCTATAGGAAAGTGGCCAGGTCTGAGTAACCACTATAATCTCTAGCTCCCGGGGCGAACTCTGGCACCTATAATGTTCTCAATACTTATCTGTCAATCAAAGGAGTAGTTGAGTGAATGAAAGAGACCTAGAAGATGGCTGGGCCTTAGCTACCTTAGAACAGTGGCTACTACACTTTAACCAACATCAGGTCTGGAGGGACTCTGGTCTCACTTTTCTGGTTCAGCTGGGAGGGGGCTTAAAACCTGGACTTTCAGAGTTTTTAGGTGATGATGGTGCCACTTTTCAGGGGTACATGTCAGGAACCTGATTTAAGGCAGAATTTCTTAAACTTGGTGCACATTCTAATCAACCCCTTAGGGGGCGAGGGGGAGGGGATGCCAGTGAGCTGCAGGTGATTTTAAAATGTCCCAAGCTTCCATAACGTGCAACTGAGTCTGGGAACCACTTATCTACTGAAATCTCCTTGTAGATTTGAAGCTTCTGATGATCAGAGAGGATAAGTGACTAGTCTAAGATCATTGAGTATGTATGTGATGCAGCCGGGACTAGAACTCAGGGTAGTTATAGTTCTTCCATTTAGTTTTTATCATTTCACACTAATTAACCCATTGAGCTTCTACAGGTTCATAACTGAAAGCAGAAAATAAAAAAAAAGCAAAGTGTGTTTCAACTGAGGTTTTGGATATTATTTCTTCTCTCCATTGTTTTATAAGGACATTTTAAGTGGATGCATATTTATAGAACTTTGCCACTTGAGACAAGTGAGGAGATGGATGAGATGGATGATTTTCAAGGCAAGACGATCCTTTAACTTTTAAGTACATTCTCCAACACAAGCCCAGGGCTCCCTCTGAGTTCTTTAACAGATGTTCTTCATCTCTAAGTCAATAAATGGGCACTGGTTTGGTTGTGATATATACATAAATTGCTGGCATGTAAAAGGAAGTCCTGGTAAAGTCTTTGAAAGTGATTACAGCTCATAAAAAGATTAAATGTTTCCTCCAGAATTTGGTTTCTATTAATGATTGCTGCCTTAGTATATATTTTTAAGTTGACAGCACAGAGATTGGGACTTATATTATCTTAGAACCAAAGAACCACCAAAGTCTCATTAGAAACCATTAAGTTCAACATCTTCAATACACAAAAGTAGAAATGTGAGCTTCAGAGAGTTCTACTGACTTACCTAATATTAATGGTGGACTGGCTGAGCCTAGACACAGGCATCTCACTCCTGAGCTATCACTTTTCTCAATACTCAAAGTGTCCCCATCCTATGTCCCTTGCACATAGTGTATGTTAAATAAATGTTTGGTGACTGGCTTCATAGATTTCTGACACCCACATTAGATGTCTCATGTCCTTAGGCCTTTGACAAAAGCAGAAGCTGAAGTCACATCTTTAACTGAACACTGATTCAGTGCACTGGCTTAGGACAGAATTCCAGTCTTGCTCTCACCATTTTCTACTGTGTGATCCTGGACACATAACTTTGCACCTCTAAGATGCAGTTTCTCTTCTCGTAAAATAAGAATCATAGGGTTCTGAATGAGAAGAGAATTAAGTGAGTGAAAGATGAGAATTAAGTGAGTGAAAGATGTGAAGATCTTAGTTCACTGTCAAGCAAGTAGAAAGAGCACTTAAGGACATCATTGTTAGGTGGCCTCTCTAATCAAACATAAACCCTGGGCTTTCTAAAGCATGGACGATACAGAGGTGGATTGAGAAGTAAGTATTAAGGGTAAGTATATCTCCCAGGAAAGCAGTGAATCTCCAAAATGAATTACTGAATTATCCTTATAGAACTACAAGAAGTCTTAAAAGATCAAATGGTTTGAACCTCTCTCCCACCTCAGGAAAGAATACAAGGGCCATGACTATTGTTGTCATGTTCCAGCAACATTCTTATGAACACCTAGGGATTTGCCAGACTTCTAGGCAACCTGCTATAAATTCTCCCCTTATCACGCATTGATAAAACAATCAGAATTCATGTATCTTCTTCAAATTACTTGAAAAAATCATTAGTTAACTTTAGCTTTTCCATTTTTATTAATAATAAATAACTTTTTCATTGTTACCTCTCATTCAACCTCCTTCATTTTACTTCTGGGAAAACTGACAAGTCAAGGAGGCTTAGTGCCACACATTAAAGCTCTGATCACAATTCAGACCTCCTTGTGCATTGCTCTTACCACCACTCTGCCTTGTGAAGACAATTCTGCACCTGATGCTATGTTTCTAGAAGTATGTCTGGCTATGATGAGCCAGCTTCCAGTCCAACCTGACTTCCCTCACATCTCTCTCATCTCTGATTCCAAAAGTGCACTTACGTGTCTATGAATCTTCTATTGAGGTGTAGGGTGGAGTCCACATCCACCTGGAGAGGAGGGTCCCGGACCACCTTGTACCGCAGGGGCTTACACTCTAGGCAGAGCGGGCTATCTGCAATGGAGGTCAACATGGCGGCATCGATTTCCAGGTGCTCATCCAACGTGTAGATCTGGATGCCATACACTTCCTCGCCCACATCCCGGAGTTTGATGGTCAGTGGGACATCACAGAAGACATTCTGAGGGCCAAGGGAGATGTTCTTCCCACTGATAGTCAAAAGTTTGATGTCATTGACAGCTCCACTAGAGTCCCAGTCAGTAGAGACAAAGGTCACCCAGATGGTCAAAGACTCAGGGACCAAGGGGTAGCGGAATTCCAATTCCAGGTAGCAGCCCTGTGGCTCAGGGCATGCTGGAGGAACTGTGTGGGGGTTGACAGCTGAATTCGGGCTCCAGGTACGGACACTGGATTTACAGGGCTGTTCAACATCTGGATGACCTAAGGAGAAGAGATGAGGTTTGAGTCCTTGGTAGAACTTCATTCTGGTTCTGGGTTTCCTGCAGACCTTACAAGAGGTGGACATGACTAGAACTCCGAGAGAAGGGGAAAGCAGAGAGAAGATTCTGTGTCTCGGTGAGTTTACTGTATGCACAGAGGCCAGGTACTCCTCACCTCTGCAATGTAAATATTTTAATAGTCATCAGACACTTGGTCAGAACTACACTCATATGTTTTACTATTGATTTGATGCCCAAACCTGCCTTCTTCATATCCCACATGTAGCTTTTGCTGCTCCAGATGGAAAAAAAAAGAGGGGACCCATTGTGTCCCATGACTTATTTTACTTCTGCAAGGACTCATTTCAGAGGTGTAGGAAATAAGAGTCAGAAATATGGATTGACCAAAATCTCACAACTTGAAGTATAAAGCTCAGTAGTAGAACCCAATTTTGTAACGTCCTGAAGAAGTTCATACCCTTCATTCTCCCTATTGGAAGCAGGAGCCTCTAATCTAAAATCCCTGTGGGATTGCCTTTGGTATAACCCACCTGGAGTGAGAGAAAAGCTAGAAGTCTCTAGCAAAGAGGAGCTTCTTCCCCTTGGACTGAGGATTCTGGGAGGAAACTGTCTAGAACCATGAGTGACAGAGCTGGAAGACAGTCCCGGAGTCCTTTTATCTCTCCTCCTCCCCTTCTCCATATGAGGTCATTCCACACTACTGAGCTTCTCTGTGCTCTGTCCAGTCTGACTCAGGAAGGGGAGGGCTGGGTGAGGGGCGGGGGAAAGGAAGGAGGGATTTTTCTACTCTTTCCCCAGGGATACTATGCCTCATCCCCACTGATCTCAGTCTGCAACGACTTCTGAATTTTTCTCCACTGAGATCATTAGTCCTAGACCCTTAGAGAGCTCTCTTTTGCACAGCTGAGAAAAGTAATCAGGAGTCAATGTGGTGATTGACTCTAATTTGTTTAAGGGAGTCTAGCAAGAGATACAGATCAGCTGGTAAGGGTAGCATGGGGGATCTCAAGTTGTCCTATTAGCACGCTTTTCTTTTTATTTTTTTCTTTAGCATCAGCAGTTGGTGGGGGATGGGGATGCTGGATGTCTCTAAGGAAAAAGGAAAAAAGCAACCTTTGTCTGAAAAGGCTTTGTGGTAATGTTACAGAATAGCAGGAGTCATCACAATTAGGAAACTAGACAGTCATTTAACATAGATAAGCTATTCCAGGGAAGGCTTTTAAGTGCCGCTGTATCCCTTGGCTTTGGCCAGCCAAGGAAGAAGGGAGAAGATACCAGGTGCAAGTGTATAAGAGAAGAGAAAAGGACAAGAAAGGGGAGCAAGACAAGAAAATTCACAAAGGCATTTCAGAGACAGCACATCAGGACAAGGAGAGCTGGACATGAGCTCCTTTCCACACTTCCTTGGCTGGATTCATTCACCACTGACAGCAACTACTGGCTAGAGGTGGCCAGTTGTTTCAGTCAAAGGCACACTCAAACTCCCTACCTAGGCGAGTTTGATTTTCTTCCTGTTTATTCTCCAAACTACTGAGTTCCCGATTCTCTAGATGTTGTGGGCTATTGCTATACATCATTATTTATTCATTCAATAATCTCTATTGATGGCAGCATATGTATTTTAATATCCCTTAAGAATATTCCCCAGATTCTTGAGATGAAAAAAAAGTACAAAATGATGTAAAAATAAACTATTATATTTATATAAAAAAATTCCCCAGATTCACCTGTTTGTCATTAAACTGCTGTAAAAAGTTACAAATATTTGTCTCTATTTTGTATCTCTTTTTCACTCAATGCCATATGGCCATTGCTTATTACAATGACTGGTCCACAGACAATGCACATAGTGGATATTCAATAAAATATTTGTTAATGAAGATACTTTTGTTTCTATGGAATTAAGAAAAAAGGTTAATGCACCATGGAATACCAGAGCCCGCTGTGCTATGGTGAGCGCCAGGTGAACGTTCCACCCTTCTGTGGGCTTTTTCCTGGAGCTGGCAAGAGATGGAGCCATCTTTCTCCCCTCTTCCTTGGAGAAAACGACTGTCAGTGGTGGGAAGCCACAGGAGGGAAAAGATGACAAATCTGTTTGACGCATTCTTTCTCCCTGGTTTCTTGTACATCCACAGAGGGAACAAATGCTTTCCAAAGGACAGGAAGGTGAGCCTGGTCATTATGCTTGAGAAAGTTAAACAGGAGTAGAAATCATAGCATAGCCTGCGCTTGTCGGGTTATCAGAGGCAAGTAAAAAGAGCACCCTGGTTCATGGAATCCAACCCACTCCCAACGCAGCAACCCCTTTAATAACAGCAGGTTTCACGAATCGGCCGTCTTCTCTGTGTTGGGCACTGGGCCAAACACGTTACATGCCTCAGTTCTTTTCATCCTGGCAATAAGTCTACGATGCAGGTCTTATGAAACTCATTTCACAGAAGAGGAAACTGAGACTCAGATGGTTAAGCCATCCCCTGGTGGGGAGTAGAATATTATGTGATAGTGTTGGTGCAGGCAGCATGCCAGGCTTTGAAGCACTGAAAGCTGGGTTAAAATATCAACTACACAGCTTTTCATTGTGTCACCTTCTGTAATGATACCTGCCCCACCGGGCTGTTGTAAAACTCAAGTGGGATGAGGTATTTCACAGAGGCTTGCAAATGTATTAGTTCTGTTCTGAAAAGGAAGGGGGAATGAAGAAGGAAAAGCTTGGGAGGGGGAGGCATCAGAAGCCAGGGGGACAGTTGAGATGATCGTGATTTTGAGTGTAATGGGAGAGCAGCAAGAAATGAGGCAAGAAGTCTCCACCTTGAGAAGATTCTTGTTTACCATGGTAAGGACTTTAAATTTATACTGACAGAGATGGAGAGCCACTGAAGAGTTTTAAACCAACAAATGAAATGTGTCTTTAAAAAATAGCAACACTGTTAAGAGGCACAGGCACTATCCACTCATTTAACCAGCTTTCTATCCAAAGAATAATTACTGTGTGCCTGATTTGTGTCTGGTGCTAAGCTATCACCCCAGGGAAACCATTTCTGCAGACCTGATCTCTGCCTGCATGGATTTTCTATTTGAATGGAACCAGTTACAAGATAGCTGTGTGAATGCAGAAGATACACAACTGTGGCTTGGATGAAGGGAACATCAGAGGAGGTGAGGACAAATTAAAGTTCCTAAGAAGAAAACTGGATACTACTGGGAAATTGATTGGGTACATGATGGTGATGTAAGGAAAGAAGAAAGGAAAGGAAAGGAGGAGAGAGAAAGGAGGGGTGAAGGGGGAAAGGAAGGAAGAAGAGATAAGGAGAAAAAGAAAAATTAAAGAGGAAGGAAGGAGGGAAGGAGGAGGAAGGGAGGCTTGGAAGGAAGGACAAAGTTCCTGTTGCTTTATTATTAACACATACCCTTTTGTATATCTGGCAACTAAAGAAAAAGTGACATGTTTATATAATCTGTCCACCAGAAATGAGACCATACATGTGTGTGAAACATATTTATATATATTTATGCTGATTCCAATTTGCATTTATGAAGATCTACATAGACATTATTATACATATTTGTGTGTATATGCTACAGCTGTTGACACAAATAGTTACCAAAACTTGGTGCCAAGTTTCTTCCAGATGAATACTTCAGCACACCTGAAGTATTCTGGGCTGGAAGACAGGGAAAGACTGACACAAATAAGGAAAAATGAAAATGTTGCCATGTGTGTTCATCTCTCTTGGAAGACTCAACACTTGGTATATTTCATGCTTGTAGATTGTGATCTTAATTGGGATTTGAAAGATTCAGATGCCAGCTATCTAATTCCTGGATTCATACAAAGCATGGCATTGAATTCCTTGAGAAATGGTCATCTAAGAAATAAAGATTCTGCTAGAAAGATAGGAAAACAGGGCTTCTTCTTTTTGAATACTATCATGCTCTGTGGCTAAAGTCAAGAATTGGCTGAAGATCATGGAAAGAGTTAAAGTTGGACATAGAGGACGTTTACTAAATATTTGTTGAATGAAGAATCATCTGTCTGGCTAAGAGGGCATGAAAATAAAAGAGTTCTATCCCACGGGCTCTGAGCATTGACAGGATGTTCATTCGTGGACAAGACGACATCTTCAGAGAAGTGAAGTGATTCACTCAAGGACACAGGGCATGTGAACGGCCAGGCTGGGACCAGGGTCCAGTCTTCATCCCACCCCATCCCCCGACTCTTTCCCTAAAGATACGTCTGGCATGGCTCATGGATTTGGGAGTTTTATGTTAGCTTGGAAAGTCCAAAAACTTAAACACGCAAAGATAAATAAGATGAAAATGAGTTGAGAAATAAATTGCAGTTTGGCTCATGGAAAAGTTTATTTCTTCAAGGATATTAAAAAGGTCTGAGCCAAACAGATCACAGAGCCTGTAATAGGATGCTCTAAAAAAAGAATAGTGTCTTTTCCTGGCCTGTGCATACTAAATTTACATATCCTAAAGGAAAACCTGGGGTTGCCTGACTCAGCTCGGAAACTTGGGGGCTTGCACTTCTGGTTGAACCCCTTCTGCAGATCACAAGGAGGAGCATCAGGGACAGACACCCAGGAACAGACTTAACCAATCGACATTTGGGTTGGATGGAGGTGTGGAGAGATGTCTGGAAATTTTTTCATTCACACAATGGTAGAGCAAACCAAGATGATGTTGGCCAGTAAGTCTCAAGGGGAGAATGTGGCTGATTCTACTTTTCAAATATCTTGCAATTCTATGACTTCTCTCTTATCTCACTGGCACTGACCTCCCCAGCCACCAACCCTCCTCCTCTCGGTTCCTACAAGTCACTTTGTTGTTTTCTATCCACTAGCCTGTTCCTTCCCCAGCAGGTTGCCAACAGAGCAGCCATTTTCCTAATCAGATGCATAACTCTTTAACTGCTGTAAATCCAAACCCATTCTCATCATGCATCTTGACCATTCCCACCTCTCCCTCATGCCCCACCTTGCTCTTCATGCTTCCATCCCATTTATGCTCTGACAGCTTGTGTTTATGTGAGTTACATCCCTTCGTAGTTACCGCACCATAAATTAAAACTGAGAAATTCAGAAACACAGGATCACGTGTTCCATTAGCTACTGCAGCAGTAACCGCATCATCTTCCAGGTAGCCACTGAAAAGCTCCTTTGTACTCTTGGGAGAGAATGGGAGTGAACAAGGTAAGCGCTGTCTGAGCACTAACTGGGAAAGTAATTTTGGATTTTGAGGGCACCCTAAAAAGTTTGTTAGGGACCCCATACGCCTCCAGATGGTGCAGAGAAAACATCTGCTCTAAAAACACCAAACTCCTTTCACATTTTCAAATTCACCTAGTGGGCGAGGGTGACCATCACTTTGTCCAGAAAATCTGAGTCTCCGTTCTGAGTGAGGTGATCTTCTTCTGGCTGCCTTCTAGCGGCCTGGGCTTCCTCACATGGAGTTAACTGCCTATTTACTTATCTGACGTCCCCATCAGATGCACAGCTTCGCCGGGGCCCACGTGCCCAGTGCCACACCTGCCCTCAGCTTCTGTGGTGGCCACAGAGGAGGCAGGGGACCTTTCGCCAGGACCTGAAGTCTTTTCACGTGGGGAGAGACACACCTTCTGTGAGAACACAATGTGGGTTCAGTTTGGGTGGGAAAGTCTTGGTTGCAGATTTCAGGAAGAAACTGCTACCAAAAGGAGCCAGCAAAGGAAAGCCAGGGACTCTGTGCCTGTTGGTGGGGGAAGGCCGAGGGGGGCGTCTGGTCTGGGTGGGAATTGGCTGGCTGACCCCAGGCATCCCTTTGCAGTCTGAAACCTATGGTTGTGTGAGGCTGAGTGAGGGATCCTCCCAGGCATCCCTCTGCTTTACATTCCAGATGGATTTGTTTAGAGTTGCCTGGTTGGTCTTGTATTTTTATTTTAAGCTACTTTTGAAGATAGCAAAGTGCAGTGCTGTTATGTTTCTCCTTCATTCTCCTCTCTGACCCCTCTCCTTTGCTTTATTCTATCTCTGGCTTTTTCTTCTCAAGCTCTTTCTAAAAATACAGAGAATAATGGAGGAGGTTTCACTGAGGCCCAATGAGGACTCGGATTCTGCCGCTGGGATGGTCTGGCATCCCCACCCAGGGTGAGACGGCAGAAACTGCCCTGCACAGGTGCCAAGAGGCAGGCAGGAGGGCTGTTCTAGTTGTAAATCTGAAGGCAAGGGAGGGGAGAGAGAAGACCAAGAGGGAAAGAAGAGGTCTCTGCCTGGTTTCAGGGTGTAGCTCTGAACCCGAGAGAGAGACTGCAGAAGGAAACCAACAGGTGATTTTCCACACGATTCTCTAAGTCCAAGCAGCCCTGCCGGAATCAGGTATGTGGGTCTGGCAGTGGCTGCTGCTGTAAAATGGAGCACAGAGCTCACTGGCACAGAGATATGGGAGATGGTAAGCAAGGAAGGGCCTGGTCCTGGCACTGCCTCCAACAGTGGTAATCAAGGGGTGCTTCCCTCACGTGTCTTTAGAGACTGATGGATCCCCAGAAGGGGGTCATGTGGCAGAAACAGAGGAACAGTGTGACACATACAAGCATGCCCTGGGGATTCCCAGAAATAACTGAAGAAGAATCAAAGGCTACTGATGCTTTGAAGCCCCAAAAATGTGTATTGATTCCAGGATGACCATAGGCTCTTGGGACTGCCAGCACATAGAAACATGCACACGGAGACTGTGTCTGTATCAGGTGTGTGGCCTTGGGCACTTAGTTAATGCCTCTGTCCTTTGTGTCCTCATATATAGAGACTGGGGTGACACTCTCAGGAGCATGCATAAGTTCAAAAGACGTGTATTGAATGACTGCATGAGTATTGGCCTTGATGTTGTTCCAAAGGGTTCAATCTTGCAGTTATAGATGAGCAATTCCTGGAATTCTAAATCACAGCATAGTAACTACAATGAATAAAACTATACTGAATGCTAGAATATTGCTGAGGGAAATGTTAAATATTCTTAAAAAAAAAAGGAAGATGATTATGTGAGGTGATGGATTTATTAATTAACCATATTGTGGTAATCACTTTGCAATGTGTATGCACATCAACTCATCCTGTTCTCTACCTGAAATCTATACAATGTTGTATGTCTCTATAAATGTGGGAAAACAAACAAACAAAATATTTATATTGGTCTTGCAGGGAAGTCTTACATCCAAATGAGGAGGGAGGTGGAAATGACCAGAGGGATAGTTCTACTTCATCTACATGGAAAGTGCTATTCTTTGTACCCCCAACCTGTCAATGACCTTGTGAGCTGGCTTACCTTCAGCTTCCCGAGGACTCCAGTGTCCTGATGGGCCACAGGGCATTGGAGAGGAGGCATTGAAGGCATACTGCACCAGGATTCTCCCTTCCAGGCAGAGGTCACATGCTGATCCCAATTCTCTAGGAGGCCAAGGAAATAAGGAAAATGCACCGACTTAGCAAAAGGTGAATGAGTCCTTGACTTCAGCAGGCCAAAGGCAACAGGACAGAGGATGTAATTCCATATTATCTCCTTCCTATCCATAGTAAAGCTTCTAGAATAGGGTTGCAGATGAAGATTCTCTCCACTGCCTAGCAATGAACTTCTGTTATGACAGCAGATACATTCTAAATTTCAAACAGGACAGAATTGACAGACCAACAACTAACTGCCTGCATGGAGCATGGATCTTAATTTCTTAAGTTCATTGAGAATTTCATATGTGGTTATGAGAAAATCTGCCTGTGTGGCCTCAAGTTTTATTCTTAGAACAATATTATGTACCATCTTGGGTTGTAGGCATTGAATAGGAAGAAGACATGGTTCACTTCCTACAGCTGAAAACGAGCAGGTTGATGCCTAAAGTACCTTCCAGCCCTTACATTCTACGGATGGATGAGTCAGCCCTTCATTTGACAGTCAAACGCAGTTTCCTCACCATGTCATCTAATTCAGTTTAGCAGCTTTCCAAGGAATGAGCCAATTCCTCAAAGGGATTAGCCCCAGAAATGAAAGATTTTGGTGGCTTCCCCTGCCATCTAGAGTCTTGTATTCTGGGTACAATCTCCCTTTGGCACAACAGCCTTCAAGATCTTTTTTTTTCTTCACCTTTTTAGGTGAAAGTCATAGGGGAAGGGTTTAGGGTGAGCCTCCTGTACAATGATGCACCCCAAACTGCAAACTGAGTCACCTCTGCAGAGAGAATGACAAGGGATGATATCAAAAAGTGTTGAAGTTGAAGATATTCTCTGTCCTTTGACTGCCTAGAAGGATACATAGATGAGACCTATCTCAAGTCTTAGAACATTCCCTTCCCAGGACATCTCTGTAGCACCTATGCTCATGTGGTAAGGGAGAGTACATGTGAGACTCACAGTCTGCTGGTGCTCCCATCCTCCTCTACACACTGCTGCCAGGGAGCTCATTCCCAAGCCTATATCTGAACTAGGCCAAGGGCCTACTTATCTACTCATATAGCAGCCAACACATGTATAGGCAACACACAATGAATCAGTACCAGACATGTTGCTAGGATTCATGACTAATCTAGGTTAGATCCTCAGCTTGCAGATTTTGCATCTTCAGCTTTTTCACTATAAATAGGAAACCACATAAAAATAGACATTTTGCAAACACACTAATACACAGTGAGGAAAAAATGATTAAATAGTCTAAGGTTGACCTATTCAATCGAATAGTGAACAGAACAATTATTACAAAAATATTTATAGGGAGTATGAAATTTCATGGAAAGTGAATGTTAGACTGTTAAGTACCAAACTCATGTATCAAAACCGAATCCATGACAGCATCTTACTGCTGCTCTAATAACTTTAACGTGAAAAAATATTATTGGCTATAATTTCTGGATAGTGGAATTTAAGATGACAGCCCCCCTTTTTTATTCTTTCTGGTTTTCTGAAAATTCTATATATTTGAATACACAGGAAGTGCCTTGGGATAGCAATAACAATAACTCTACAAATTCTTTCATAAGTAGGGAATGAGGAGTGGTGAGAGAAAGATCTCCACAGCACTACTTTGGAGGGTCGAGTTCCATTTCAATGACTGCAGTCCTTGCATAGTAGCTCTGAGTCACGTGATTGACTTACCAATCACAATGAGATTACCAACATCCTGAGAAGGAATTAGGAACTACACTGACCTTAATGACCATCGAGTAGTCCTTCCTTTTATCTCTTTACCTGTTCTGTTTTGGATACTACACAGAGAGTCATCTGAACTTCATAAGTTTACAATAAATATATGAGTGAAGACACCATATTCATCTAACAGTAAATGTGATTTCTATGCAGAGAGCTCCATAGACTGCATTTCTTCTGGTGGAGCACAAAGCTACACCATTGACTCACATATTTGTTCATGGTCTCACCTATAAATTCAGTGGACAGTCATGGAAGAGTCTTTGTTTATTGGTGTACAAGTACAAATTGGCCATCTAGGGTGAGTAAATTAGTGATGGTACCTGACTTCCCAGAGCTTGCCATCCAGTAGAGGCAATAGTTATAAACACATTAGGTAAAGACACAAATACTGACCAATAAGTTCTAGGAGGAAAGTAAAGTGGTGATGCAGGAGAGAATGGGGACAGGAATGACACTGATCTCCTTAAGATTGGGGCAGTCATGGGAGATCCGATCAAGAGAACACCATTTATTTATATTGAGATTGGAAGGATGGCTGTAAAACATTTCAAGCAGTTTCCAGAATTCTAAAGGACCTAAGCAGGAATAAAAGGTCTTGGTCCAGAGGGTTTCTGAAGAGATCCCGAGTGGAAGGAGTCACAAATGAGAGAAAGAACCTTAATAGAGCCAGTTGAGCATGTAGCCAAGAGTTAGATGTTGGGAGGTCGTATAGGCCACCTGTGATTAGAGATAAAACTAACAGAAAATCATGGGAGGGTTGCAAGGTATGGAGGGTTATGATCTGAACTGATTCACATTTTAAAAAGATCAGTCTGAGTGATAAATGTAGAATGAATGGAAAGAAAGTGAAATGAAGTAAAAGAAAAGCAAGAGTAAAAGCAAAACCAGCAATTATAAAACAATGGTGTGATTCTGTGTAGGGTGGATGATGATCCTATTAGATTAGGAAACTGAGGTCCATAAACACAAAGTAATCACCTCAAGCCATAGCTCAGAAAGTCAGCCTCAATATAGGCTTAGTTGAAATGTGGCAGTATCTATGCATCCAGGAATATAGGTTTCCCCTGCTACCTGAAAGTAGAACACCTTTATGTAACTTTTGATAAGCTGAAATAGTATAAAACAAAGAAGCAATTATAATTTACTTAGATGGAACTAAGTTTAGGATCCCCAGATGAAAAAATAACCTACCAAATCACACCAAATAACAATCACACTAGCACACAGTGAAAGCTGGAATGACATGATGGAATAGACAGCCTGTACAAGGTAGATCCCAAAGAGACAGCTTGGAGTTGCCATCCATGCTGTTGAGGGTGCTGCAAAACAAATACTGAATTGGATTGCACTTTTGGCTTTTTGCCATGAGAGTAAAAACTCTGGATTTTTTTCAGTAAACAAAATCAGGAATTAATGTAATCTTTCAGAAAAGCAAAGTTGAGTAACTCACTTCCACACATGGACACAAGTTCCATACCTTGACATGAATTTGAGGCTTATGGACACCTGTACCTACACAAACACATTCACAGAAACACACAGAGATGCACCCCACCCATGTACAGACAACTGAAGTCACAGATGCACAGGATGTAAATGCCGCCAGCCATCATCTTTCTCAACCAGGTTCTATGAGAGTAGAAGCTGACAGCACCAAGTCTGAGCTGTCCAGCAAGGCAGCCACACAAGATGACTTAAACTTAAAGTTTTGTAATAAATTTCAAAATCCAATTCCTCCATCATAGTCATCACATTTTAAGTGTTCCATTGCTACAATTGACGAATGGCTACCATATTGGAAAGTACAGACACAGAACATCCATTCATGCAGCAAGCCATGTTGGACAGGCTTTCTCTACAATGCATCCAGAATGGTACAAGTTAAGTACTGTCCTTGTAAGAACTAAGAAAATAGTAACTCAAGTCATTTTCAGCATTCTGAAATTTGGAAGAGGAGATTTGGTTGAGAAAGGCTAGACTCTCTTTGGCTTAGAGATCAGAAAACAGGCTGAAGAGGAACTGGAAATGAATGAGGTCACAAAAACGAGAGCCTGGTCTCTGGGTTCCCAGTCCAGTGCTCTTTCCAATGCGTCAAATCCAATTGTTCAGATAAATAAAACCATCCAGTCAACACATGTTTGCAAGACAGATAACAATAAAGGAGCTAGAAAAGCCAGGGGTGGCCTTGAATTATTTATTCAGTTGCCCATGTGTGAGGACACAGGCTGTGGGAGGATCTGAATATTTTTTTTAAGGAAAACCCTTGTATTCTCTTAGAACACAGATGTGAGGAACAGCAGGAGGACATGAAGATGGCCAGGGGCGAGAGGTTGGCATTGATGGATGTAGTGGAAAACACCAGAGGTTTTGCAGGGGGAGAGAATTTGCAAGTAGCTAACCAGCTCTGGAAAGCCCAAGATGGACGCTAACATTTCTTGAACACCAAATGTGTGTGCAAGGCATAACGCATGTCATCCTGTTGAGCTCCCATAAAACTTGGGTGACATGAGTATAATTAGCAACTTTTTATGGAAGAAGACTCCAAGGGTCAGAGAAGATCAGAGAGGTGAGATGGTTGGCTCACCCGAGGTCCCACAGACTATGGGTGGAGAAGCCGAGACTGGGGCACAGACAACCTCACATCAAAGCTGGTGCACTTTGTATGAAGCTACTTTCCATGAGCGTAAACTTGGTCTACGGGAGAGTGATAAAAATAGTTCCATTTCTTTACAACAATTTATTGAACTTGTGGACTGACTTCCTGTAGACACAGACTATGGCCTACGTAGCTGTTAACCCTAATTAGACATGTTTCTGAAATGTCAGTTTTAATTTAACATATGATAACTCCGTTATGAAATCCTTGACTGAACAGAATAGCTATTGTAAGAGCCTCAAGCACCAACTGACTATAGGTTATTAAAAACATATTGATTGAAGCTGAGGGCACTGTGTAATAGAGACATATCTCATTACACAACAATTAACCCTCCAATAGCTTTCCAACAATCAGATGGTATTTATTTAATGGACAAAAACTGCTTTATGAAATACAAATTGAATACATACACAGGAAACTTCACTTACAAAACTTCCATTTTTAAGTAAAATCGAGGCCAAGGTTTGACCAAAAGTCTGATACTTCTCATCGCCACAGAAAAAATAAATAAATCTACAGGCTGTTGGAAGCCTACTCTGAAGTGTCACATGAGGTTTCCCAAACCAGCTGTGAGCTCCCAGTGAGGGTGGCTGCGCCAGAGGAAAGGGGGTCTCTGTAGAGGGCAGAGAGAGTACATTTCCTTTCCTGAGATCACATTCGACACGCTGACAAATGAAGGTTCTCGGAACAGAGACTGATGGTGCTGGTGAAAATTGGAGTCCCAATTTAATGTGGTGCCACAATCTCATATACTTTTCATACTATACATGTATACACTTACAGCCATAAATGAGAGCTACCCATTACCTTTTGTGACCCTTGTGGGGGGTGAGTAACACCTCTGTCTTAACTGGAGCTTTGGTAGGACTTAGTGAAAGCGTGGGAGCCCCAGACAAGACCCTGAAGCTAGGAGTGAACCCAGCCCCCACCATCTTCTGTGTGTTCTTGGTTAAATCGCTCCACCTCTTTCAGCTCCAATTCCCACTTTCCTGAGCAAATGGGGATGATGAATTCCCCCGGACAGACTCAATGGTAAGATTAAACAAGACCCTGCATATAAGCCATTCAGTACAGAACCTGACAGAGTAAGTCCTTAACAAAAGGTAACAAACACAACAATAGGGTGTTATCAATGAATCCTTCACTGGTAATTACTGGCACCATCATCTATGTCATGTCATCATTATTGGGCTTGGAGAGGGTAAGATATAAATTCCCACATTATACTTAAGCACTAAAAAGAGGTCTTAATCCATTTCCACGGTCCTTTGGATTGGGTCCCCTTACAGTTTGAGCTCCTTCCTCAGAAGATCTCAATGCTGAAAGGCCCTACAAGACACCTTTGGATTCAGGTCTTCACCTTGAAGCCACTGAGACATCACTAGACACACCCTTTAGGGGAAGAGGGACTTAGACTCACTTGGTTGGAGTAGAGAGAGTTGCTCAAAGTGATAGAGCAGATAGTGTCAATCAGGGGAACAGAAGAGAGGAATGTTGTGCCTGTTTTTCGTCCTCTGGACTACCTAAACATTCTTCCTTCAGCATTACAAAGAAGCACTAGGCACAAGCACTGAATTCATATATTACAAACATGCACACACATTAATGTGCAATGTATAAGTCTGCACACAGAGACATGTGAATATGTAATCTGTAGTGTGCATATGAAGGTGTGTATACATTTATCAGAGGAATTTCAGCTCCTGAGCTCACAGAGACCAGACCCACATCTTGATCGCAAAGGTTTCCAGGTATTTAATAACATAAAGCTAAGCACTCACATGCTTAAAAAATCTGTATTCTGACTCACTCCCTTCTTTTAGCTACCATTGCTCATTCACTGACCCCAAATTTACAGTGACTGTGCTAAGGGGTACCCACTGCACAAACTGAGCCAAGGACAAAGAAACACAGTATGACCCTCTCCAAGGCTTCTTCCCTTCCAAGTTGCCTCCTTCTTGGCGGCAGAGAGAGGGAGCAACTCTTCCCAGGCCACGCTCACCTTTCAAAGAAGTGGCCGTCGATGGGGGGGAACCACTCCAGTGTCACAGAGTCAGTCGTGTGGCCCACAATCTGGGGGGCCAGGGCGACGGGTGCCGGCTTCCTGGAGGGCTGCCAGCTCTGGTAGACCAGGTCCAGGTAACAGTGCATTCTGGCGACTTGGTTGGGCGTGAAGGAGTCTGTGCAGTCGTCATCTGCAAGCGGGCAGGGGGAGAGATGAGAACGGAGCTGCACAGGCGGGCATGCGAGAGAATGATGACGTCTACCAGCGCTCTGAGAGCCAGCGCCAGCCCCTGCCAACTCAGAGCTGGCCTCTTCCAGTGCTCAAGAGTTAATGGTCTGTGAACAAATTAGTGTAGTCATCACTTCTAGAGACAGGTGAGGGGGAAGCAGGAAGGGGCGGGCGGGTGGAACTGAAAAGTGCTTCTGAGACTAGCGAGGGAATAGCACAGAGGTCATGGCCAAGGATAAGAGCAAGGCAGGCTGCTTTCCAGGGGCCCCACGTCCACTGGTCACTAAGTCACACAACCCTTATTCCTTCCTTCCCTCACCACTCATTCCATATGTTTCATTCACTCATTCCTGTCTTCACTCCTTCTTTCAAGCATTCCCTGTTCCTTCACTCATCCTTCCCCTTCCTTCATCCACTTGTATTATTCATTCTGCTCTTCATGATGTCACGATATTATCTTTCACACAAACCCACGGAGCTTCTATTACTAACACTGAACTCTATGCCAACAGCAGAGAAGTGATGAAATGTTGAGTTCCTGCTGCTGAGGAGCTGCCAGTCTGATTGTAGAGTGGAAGTTACCTTGTGGGTTGAACCAAGGTTGCTACGAAGCTGGTCAACCATGTGTTGGGGAAGGAGGGTGACCCAAGGCAGCCAGGGAAGGAGATAATTGAGATCAATCAGACCACCAGGCTAAGACTGGGAAAGTTGAGGGTTTTAGATGAGGGAAACACAGGACCCTAGAGCACAGCATCCTAGACAGTGAGGACAGACTCAGGCAAACATAGAGAAATGCTGACCCAGTGCCCTGCTGGAACTGCGCACCATGACACCTGCTGCCCACGGTTGGTTGTTCATGGGCATTGACTTCGTGACTGGTGTAAGCTAGGCCCAGGCCACTTCACTTGGACACATTGAACTTTCCCACAATTTCTGGAATAAATACAATAATAGTTGCCACTTTTCAGAAGGGAAACCGAACTGATACAGGACAAGAGCATGCTGAAGATGAGTCAGGGTCAGATCTGAGATTCCCCCCCCAGACATTCTTGACACCAAGGCCATGCTTCTCATCAATATGACTTTGTGAGCATGAATGAGACCTTGTATAGATAAGGTAGCCTGCAGGTGCTTGATAAATAGAAATGGATTCTGAGTCTGAAGGGCTGGGAGACAATCTCTTAAGTGTCTTTACATCGAATGACCTTCAGTTCTACTCTCTCTTTTATAAGATGCAGACTGAAGGCTATGGACCAAGACCCTCCTCCCAAAGGGAAGACTGCCTCCCACCTCTCCCTCAATTAGCTTTATTCAGCGGCCCCAGGGGCACTATTTGGGTGGTTTCCAAAAACACCACTTCCCAGGGAGTCCGCCTGGTCAGGCTTTCTGCAGCTGGGCCCCAGACAGAGGAGCACGGGGCTCACCAGATCTTAAAATAAACCCACCACTGGGAACCCTGCAGCATAAACTCACTCCTCCTTATCAAACAAACAGAAAATGCATTTGGGCAGGTGCTGGGCAGTTAAGCATGAACTAGAGAATTCAGCTTGGACAGGGGCAGGGATGCAAGGAGGTTAAACACAGAAGCTACTTCTGATCCCCTTAGTAACTACTGAGAGTCTCTTTTCAACACCCTGGGGAAGACTTTCATGCATCTGGAAGAAGCAGAAAAGTCTGGTGTCCACCGTGAAAAAGAGACTACAGTGTAACTCTCTCTCAAGCCCAGATGCCACCATGTAACTTCTTCCATACCAAAGAATGGTTCCCATCACCTGGAGAACAGAGTCCAAACATTTCAGTATGAGAAGTAGCAGATCATCCAGTATATGGATACATCTGCCTTAAAAGTTACTATGGGGCCCTCCAGGTGGCACAATGGGTTAAAGCACTGCACTAAGAAGCTAAAGCCACTTCAGCATGAGTTCAGTCCCACCCTGGAGGTGATCCACATGGTACAGCTGACTTCTCCTGTTCCCCACTCTGTCTCTGGTGAATCCTGTCATTGCATTTGCACCTCTGGCCTGTACCCCAGTTCTGTATGCATAAATAAATAAATATTTTTTAAAAAGTTACTATGAACATTTTGCACTTTGACCTCAAAGTCTTGTAAAAGGCACTGAGTAGGTCAGAGGCAGGAGGAGGGATGACAGCAAATGACACATGGCTGTCCAGTTAGACTAGTGCATGAAGGGTCTGGAGTCAAGTGGGCAAGAGATCTCAGACCCTCAGTGCCTCAGTTTCCACATCTGTAAGGTGGACGTGTTGATGATAACAAGCAGGCTTATCTTGGAAGTTAAGGGTAGTAAAGCACCAAGAACCATGATAAGTAAGCGTGCTCAATAAATGCTGTCTTAAGATTGGAAATAGTGTGAGTGTGTGTGTACTTGCGTGTGAGCGTGTTGGAAAACTGCAAGGGGGGGGGGACAGACAGAAAAAGATTCATTGTCTTTGACCTAGCATTATCATACATTGAAATTCACTGGATAGACAGATACTCATGGACAAAGTATGTGGGGAAAATGTAGGTATAGGAATGTTTCCTTAAGCATCATTTACAACAGTAAAAAAAAAAAAAATTAGAACCAACAAACCTATTAGCAGAGGAATGGCTGTGTACATTAAGACTCAGGAACAGAAAATAATACTCGTTAGTCCTTTCCTGAAGAAGGGAGTAAGCTTAAAAACCAGTTCCCTCATGTATAAGTTGGGGATATTTAAAGCAACCCCACTACACAGGGTTGTGGGGATCCAGGAGCTGAGGTACCCCCACCCCAGCATTTATGATGGTGCTTGGGGAAGAGTTTGTCCTCGAATACACCCTAATTTGCTTGTTCTTCCTATTCTTGTCTACCCCTCTCCCCAATTACCCTTTTATAGTGTAAACTTAAGCCTTTTCCATGTGTCCTGGTAAAAAGGAGTCTGATAGGTGATACAGCCTCGTAGAGGAAGAGAAAAGTACCTGAACTTAAAGCTGAAGTCAGGAAATGTTAGTGCCAAGGGACATCACTTACAGTCAGCACTATTATCAGAATCTTAGGTGAAATAGCAAAAGGCTTCCATTTATCACAAGACTCAGTCTCAATTAGCTAATGTCTAGAGTCAGCCACTCTTGGCTTCCTGCCACCACATTCTATCCTCTCCTGACATGTGTGGCCACTTGATCCTGGTCTCCAGGACCAGCTAGTCCATTCCTTTACTTCTGTCTCCATCTGTCCCTAAGCAGAAAGGACACTGGGGGTTTTGGCGCTCAGTGATCCTTCATCAGTTCCCAGGCTGTTGATCCAGTGCCCCAAGTTTGTGAACAGAACTGGGAGGCCACAGTGCACGATAGCTCAGAGTGCAGATTCAGAGCCTCACTCCCTATGGACCCCAGGGCAAACCAGTGACTTCGACACCCTCATTTTCACCTTCTGCAAAATAAGGAATAGATGCTACATGCCTCTACAGCTATAAAAGCATTTAACTGGCTAGTTCCCTCCTAGTGCCGGGATAACTGAGCATCCTTTGTAAAAGTCCCTGCTTTTTAAAAGATAATGATAATAATAGTAATAACATTATATGAGTATGAAAATGGCAGTTCTCCATTGTATAACATTTAGAATATGTTGCAAAAAATGATACAAAGACATAAATTATCACCTTAAACTCATTACCTAGAGATAATACAATTACTATTTAGCGTATATGAATATGTATGGATATGATGAGTGGATGTATCTACAGTGAATTTACATAATTCTCATTATCATAAGCAGACATTCATCTTATGGAAAATGTGTGTGTGTGTGTGTGTGTGTGTATAGCAAGCCTTATAAGTTATATAAAGCTCATGTGTTAAACAATTAACACATAATCCTACCAATTGTCATTTATTGAGCACTAATTTTGGTATGGAGGACAGTTCTAAGTCAGTTATCTGTCTGACTCCACCTACCAAAAAAGGGAGGTGTGACTGTCCTCCATGGTATCGATGAAGAAGGAACAGAAGCTCCAAGGGAAGCAGTAACTTGCTTAGATCAATCGAATCCTACTATGTGGAAATTCAAGTACTCACTCTCCAGACTTTATATTCTGAACTATGGTGTGGCCCTGCCATTCCCCTTCATGTGGTCTTCAGGGGCAATACGATGTTGCATCAGGTGGATGCTTGTGACTTATTTCAGTGATCCATTCTCTTTGGGCTAGTAAGCAGAGTTTTGATTTTTCATACATGTGAGTATTTGTGTTGGATGCCTGCATGCCTATTTAGTATTTGGAGAATAATCATTGCTAAGAACAACCTTTTGATTAAATCTTCAAATGCACTGACAGATTTCTCTCCCTAGATATATGTTCCATAGAGGTGGACATATTAGTTCAGAGTGTACGTACATATTAAAAGGCCAAGCTCAATAATAAAAAGGCTCTGGGGGTTGGAGAAGGTCTAGGTCCCACACTCTGCAGGGACTCTAACTAGTGCTTGCCCTTGGTGGGCTCCCTCTGGCTGATATTCAGAAAGTCAAGTATAGGGTGCTTGCTCGGGGCTTAGCTAGCACCTCATCGCGACCATACATGCTAGCACTCACCTAGATGTGCTTCCATCACCTGCCCAGTGCAGGTTCAACCTGATCACCTAGGGGCCTCTCAATCTTTCCCAGGATGAGAAAGAGAGCTAGAGAACAAGGGATAATTAATAACACAGGCAAACCTGGTTTCTGCTGTGTGACCACAAGGTAAGCTGAGTTATTCATTTCCCAAAGCCACACTTTCTGCATCTATAAAAGGGGTTCAGTCATCACAGCACGTCACCTGGTTGGGTTATCTTGAGGATTCTATAATAATTCTATGCAGCATTTCCCATAGGGTGTGACATGTCACAGGCCTTCCATGATTATTGTATACCTTTGCTGAGTGGGAGGGTAGCTGCCAGTCAGGTGTAGCTACTTCAATAGAAATTAACTGGAGTGCCTTAAGACTCACCATGTAGACTTGCAGCGCTGGCTGGATGTACATGATTGTGGCCCGCCACAGTGGGCAGGATAGATACTGAACCCTTTTATCTTTGCAGGAGGCTGCACTGGACGGTGCTGTGCTGGACTCCAACTAGAGGCCAGACCTAAGGATGAAGCACCCAGGAAGGGAGGGAACCCAGACAGCTGAGCTGGCACTGAGCCTGCCTCTCTCCTGGCCTGCAGGGCCCTTGTGCGAGGCTGTCCCCAGCCCTGAGAACCCGATCTGGTTCTGCATTTTGAATTTCATCCAGCTGCTTTTGTCACCTCATCTATCAGAGATCCTAAGGAAAACAAACATTTCAAAGCTCGTGGTTGCCTTGAATATGCTTTTGCGGGTGTAAGTTTGTTATCGTAGCTCAGTGAATTAGTTCTGCTGTTAATGGGTCACTGAGCTGAGGGGTTCCTTTAAAAAAACAACAGTAAATCAATCACCCTTTAGATCTGTACAAAGGGGAACAAAAAAAAAAGATTTGGTTTATGGAGGCCTGGTAGCGGGTGGCGGCTCATAGGCCCCTGAGAGGCCGGCAAATTTCCAAACTCCTGTTATTGTTTATTTTCCATGTGCGTTGAGCTGGCCGAAGGAAGGTGCTGCAGAAATGGGACATAAGCAGGGCTGTGAGAGGGGACAGAGCACCGGATGTGAGATGGAGGCTTGGCTGGGAATGCGAGCCCAGTGGGAATCTGCTTTTGAGGAAATACCCTGTACTCTGGTCTTGTTTAGAGATCTACACGTAGAGCCTTGTTATGGTTCTGGGGGCGGGTGAGCCAGCCCTCAGGAAACCTCAGCTTCTGACTATATGAATCTAAAACTGGAGAGGTCCCAAGAGGTCATCAGCTGGAATGGAAAGCAGAAGACCCGTTGGGGATCATCTAATTGACTGGATTGTAGTAGGGAAATCCTCTCTCCAAATCAACCTTGAGGCAAAAGCCTGACAGAAATGAGAAACAGTTGGAAGGGGGCATCCCTGGTTCAAGGGCAGATGGGGTCCAGGAGTTGCACCCACACCGAGACCTAGGGCTGGCCCCCGAGGCATCTCTGTGGACCCGGGTGTAAAACCAGCCAGCTGCTCACCTTCATACGCGTGCATCATCTAGGTCTCTGCACAAGTGCCTGACGTAGAAAACACTTGCCAATTATATTTGTGACCTGGGACAGGTGACACCAGTGTTTAGACTGGACCTCTGCAAAGCGGGCTAGTTCCTGCCCTATCGTGGTGAATTAAAGCAGATGGTATGGATTAAAGTCTTTTAGGAACAACAAGCTTTCATGCAAGTAGAAATAATGCTACTGATGAGAATCAGTTTTGTTTAGTTGTTCCAGGACCATTTACTCATGGCCTCATTCTCTCCCTTTTTCCCTCCCCCCCTTTCATACTAATAAACACATCGAGCACCAGGCCCCGTTCTAGGTTCTGGGAAGACAATAATATGTTACAGGCAATCTCTGTTTCACAGAACTTACTTGTTCTAGTGGGGAAAATATTATTATTGCCTGACAATAATAATAATAACAAAAACAATAACAACAACAACAATAATAATAATAATGATAATAATAAAGATTTGCGGTTAGGCTCCCATGTGCAGTTCTGCACTTGGCTGAAGGGGCCAGTGGTGAGGGACATGGGTGCCCTGGGAAGCTCCTTCTCATTTGCTGAAAATGCTAGAAGGGCTAGAAGTGAACTTGCTAGATGCTAGAAGGGAGTGCATGGTATTCTAGAACTCTAAGAACACTGTTATCGCATGTGGCTCTTTCCTGAGGCAAAGCATGTGTGTGTGTGTGGGAGGGGTTAATAAGAGTAAAGGAGGATATAAGAATTTGACATTTAGGAAAACTAATCAACCACTGGCTTACAAAAACACAGCTGTGACACTAGAAGAAACCTTGGAGATCAAGTCCAATGATTCCATTATCTTGAGAAAAATGAGACTCAGTTGGGTGGGGGGAGTAATTGGTCTTTGGGGGGACCCAAAACCAAAGGTGACCTAGTGGCAAAGCCAGAACTTCCACCCAGCTTAGCTTTCCTGACTTCTGGTCACCGCCAACTTCCAAAAGTGTGTCTTTCTGAGGCATTTTCAGAGGTGATGTTTCCTTATATCCTGAGAGTACTCACAGAAGGAATATTATA